TTTTTCTGGAATGTTTTATTTAATAAAAAAAAAACGTAAAGGAAGAAAATCAGAATTTCTTTGCACGAGTGTCGCCCGGCACGTCCAACCTGTCAGAACCTCAACGGTAATTGCAGTCTGTATGGTAGGGTTCTTGCAGGCCAGATTCAGTCATGATGAGGGTCGCGATCTCTCAAAACGTTCTCTTCTTTACTTCTGAAGTAGAAAACGACGGAACTGACAGCCGTTTTTCCTGGAATTCTTTTTTTTTAATAAAAAAAAAAAACGTAAAGGAAGAACATCAGAATTTCTTTGCACGAGTGAAGCCCGGCGCGTCAAACCTGTCAGAACCTCAACGGTAATGTTCACCAACGGGCTCGCTGCACTACTCTCGACATGAACAACAAGACGTATATGGCAGTGTATCTTTATTTGAAAAAAAAAAAGGGCGACGGCCTTGAGATATTATCATTAAGCTGACCGGCCCCAAGCAATTCATTAGCAGTTGTTTTTGCTCGTCAAGTTCCATCATCCGGATTCGAACACAGGTCTGTATTTCAACAGTTCATGTGTGTACCCACTGAGCTAAGGCTCTTGGGTATATGGCAATGTATCTTTCCATGTTCAAGCGGAGGATTCAGTCTCGTTTGTTCAGAGATTCTCCAAAACAAAAAAAAGAAAGGTTCCAGAGATACGTTACGTGCTTACTTGATTCATCGGCCCTTCGCTCTCCACCTCCCAACGTATGAATGAATCTTCCACCAGAACATGGAAAGATACACTGCCATATTTTTTGTCCTTTGTGCATGTCGCCCCTCCGGATTCATGTTGCCCGTTGACAAGGGCGGTTTCTTCGGTCCGATAGTGTCAGCACACGGTTTCCTCTCTCTCTCTCTCTCTCTCTCTCTCTCTCTCTCTCTCTCTCTCTCTCTCTCACACACACACACACACACACACGCCGAAAAGAGGCATGGCGCACAGTGCGCACCTTGCAGGGGTAGCGCGTCCCCATGCGCTGCGCGCGTGCGTGCACATGCGCGCGCGGTGTCACCACGCGCATTCCGCACGGCGCACTGCACCGCATCGCGCACCGCTCCAGTGTGCCGCAAGTATGATATATATATCAAAGCAGACTATCACTCAGTCACACCAGATGGAAAACTCTACAGTCTGTCGGTCCACACCCCATCACAAGCAATCAAAACACCCATGAAACAAAGAAAGGTCTGTCACAACCGAAAACTACACTCCGCGCACGCCGCTGGCACTAGAGGCACATCATGGCCGCGTAGTGACGGGCCCAACCACTGCCTCTCGACCTTACTGGAGAAAAATGTAGCAGGGTTTCTTTGTTTCGTGGGTGTTTTGCTTGCTTTTGATGGGGTGTGAACCGACAGTCTGTAGAGTTTTCCATCTGGTGTGGGTGAGTGATAGTCTGCTTTGATTTTCGTCACAGGTACCTTGAGGGCAGTGGTTGGTGCCCACCTCAGGGTATCAGTTGTCGGGCAGTCGTTGACGCTCAACCACAGCCGGGGTTAAGGTGGATTATCACTTAGTGTAATCAGTTAGGGGATTCTTCAGACTGTTGAGGGTTCAGCCTCCTGACGAATCGGTGAAACTCAGACGAAACAGTTTGTCACAGCCCCTCGTTTGTTGTCCTCTTTCCCCCCTCTGCCTATGGTTTACCGGGCAGCTCTGTTTGACTATATATGTATTGTCAAACAGAGCTGCCCGGTAATATATATATCAAACAGAGCTGCCTGGCAAACCGTAGGCAGAGGGAGAAGAGGACAACAAACGAGGGGCTGTGACAAACTGTTCTGTCGGAGTTTCACCAACTCATCAGGAAGCTGCCTCCTGATGAGTCGGTGAAACTCCGACGAAACAGTTTGTCACAACCCCTCGTTTGTTGTCCTCTTCTCCCTCTCTGCCTACGGTTTACCGGGCAGTTCTATTTGACGATATATATATATAAATTGAATGGTTTCACTGTGCCCTTCGTGTTTGTCCTGTTTTTTTTTTTTTTTTTAATTTTTTGCCGTTTGTTTTGCAAAAATTGCGCTCTTTTAGTTCATAGTTATGTGACAATATATAATGAGCCAGTGAAACTCCGACCAAACAGTTTGTCACAGCCCCTTGTTTGTTGTCCTCTTCTCCCTCTCTGCCTACAGTTTACCGGGCAGCTCTGTTTGACGATATATACATGGTAGCCGGCGTTCGGCCGGGGCTGAACGACCAAACCCGAACGCCCGAACGTTTGGGCCCCCCCCGTTCGGGCTGAAAGAGGACCCAAAAGAAAAATTCCCAAAAATCTGAAAAAATGTGTGTGTTATGCAGAAAAATAGACTGAAGAACATTTGCCTCAGCGTTACATCGAAATTCTTTACCAAATTGGAAATAAAATTAAATCACGGAAAACAAATAATAATAATAAAAATTAGAAAAAATGAAGAGAATTAAAATCAGTACGTGAGCGGGCACGTTTTAAACACCACCTTCTTTGGCGATTTTTCTTTTTTTTTTTGGCTTAGTCAAATGCCCTGAAAATTTGTAGATGTGTATCTCACATGTGCAAGGAATATGAGCGAGAGAGAGAGACAGAAATTACGAAGTGATCCAGATAGTCATGTACCAAGCAGAGAGCACAATGCACCAAGGTAACATCCAATTAAGAGCAATACAATGAGCTCGAGTGCCAATGCCGACGACGCTCTCTGGTCACACCAACACTGTACCCAATGTCGCTCTGACTGTCTGGCGCCCAGTGCCCAGCCTGCACTCCTCAGCCTATCCATCCTGTCTACGCTCATGAGACTTGATCGCATCGAAGTTGGAGACCAATGTACGTGACGTCATCACCAATGCCGACGCCAGCATACACCAGGTACGTTCTCTCTCCTTCCCTCATCACACCTTGATCTCCTCTGCATGCGCCCCCTACCTGAACCCCACCATCTCCATCACCTGTACCACCCGCACGCTCGGCCCGGTTATGGCTGCATTGCGCCCTTACCTTTTGGCACCTCCGTGCACCCTGGCGAGCAGCGCTAGCGCAGCTCTGCTTGTACGACAACACAGCAGCGTGGCCGCATTGCACGTACAGGCCAGAATGCCCTTGCGAGGCCGGGGACTTTCCTTTATGGAAAGTGTGGCCCTGTGTCTGGCTGCGTGGGCCTGGCTGGGGCAGTTCTGTTTGTGACGATATATATGAGTCGGTGAATCTCCGACGAAACAGTTTGTCACAGCCCCTCGTTTGTTGTCCTCTTCTCCCTCTCTGCCTACGGTTTA